AACAAAACATATAAATGAACAAAACATATGTTGTAAATTCTTGCTTCATTGAACTTGCATGCTAGTGGGCTACAGTAACCACGGTGTAGTCATTAAGATGCTAGATGCTACAGCAAACAGACAAGTTGTCAGTGGATTAATGTAATAAAGGTCTATCATCTGTTCAGCTTAGTGTCGGATGCGAGTATTTTTGTTTTTTTAGAGAGTGTGAGAGTTCGAGTGAGCAAGAGAGGGGTAGGGGCAGAGGGAGAGGGAGTGAGAATATTTTTATTTTATTTATCTTTAAAAAATATTTTATTTATTTGAGAGAGAGAGAGAGCGCATGCGTGCGTGCGAACATAGGTGGGGGAGGGGCAGAGGGAGAGGGAGTGAGAATATTTTTATTTTATTTATCTTTAAAAAATATTTTATTTATTTGAGAGAGAGAGAGAGCGCATGCGTGCGTGCGAACATAGGTGGGGGAGGGGCAGAGGGAGAGGGAGAAGTAGACGCCCCACTGAGCAGGGAGCCCGACGCTATCAGGGGCTCTATCCCAGGACCCTGGGATCATGACCTGAGCCAAAGGCAGGCGCTCAACCGACTGAGCCACCCAGGCGCCCATTTTTATTTTATTTTAAAGATATTTTATTTATTTGACAGAGAAAGAGAGTGCACACACAAGTAGGCAGAGCGGCAGGCAGAGGGAGAGGGAGAAGTAGGCTCCCCGCTGAGCATGGAGCCTGATGGGGGGCTCAATCCCAAGATCCCGAGATCATGACCTGAAACCAAGCGTCAGACGCTTAACTGACTAAGCCACCCAGGTGCCCCATGACGCATGTATTTTTGATCAGGCAGATTTCCATAGCCATGTGGATATATTACTGAAGGAGGAAACACTCAAAAAAGAGGCCATCAAGGCTAAGGCAGAGCAAGGGTGAGAGAGGTCTGGGGATTAGGTCAAAGAAAGGAGACGAGGCTAATTGTGTGACTCTGGCTTCTCTTCTGAATGAGAGGAGTGGAAATCAGAAGGTTGTGTGCACAGGACAGGAAAGATTTGATTTGCATTTTATCCAGACAGGGTGTGGCAGCTACCCTGAGAATGCACTGGAAGGTGGGAATGGCAAGAAGATGACAGTGGTGTGGACCAGAGTGGCAGTGATGGTGGTGATGAGAAACGGTAGGATTCAGGATACATTTTGTAGGCAAAGCAGGATTTGTACATGGGTTGAAGGTGGAGTCTGAGAGAAAGACAGGAGGGACTGTGGTGTGAGCAATTTCAAGGATGGAGTTGCCAAGAATGGAGTTGGGGAAGACCGTGGTGGAACATATTTGTGGGGTGAGATGTCTCTGAGAGATCCAAGTGGGGAGGCAGAGAGTCTGAAGCTCCGAAGAAAGCTCTGGACTCCAGCTCTAGGTTTAAAGTCCTACTTCAGGGTAAAGGTATTTAAAGCCTTAAGACTGAGAGATGGGAAAGAAAAAAAAAAAAAAAAGACTGAGAGATGGTGGGTCAGGGGAGTGTAGGTGAAGAAGAGAGATCTAAGGACAGTCTCGGGGTTGAAAAGAAGGGTTGGCCAGTAAGAGGAATGGGGAGGAGGGGGTGGGGGAGTGGTTGGGGTCTTATGTGGGGCAGTGTTTATCAGGTCAGAATCACAATGGAGTACCACTAATGTTGGCCAAAGAGCCTGTTTCCTCCCCATTCCATTACTATTTGCCCATCTGTAGCTGTGCATGGTCAGAGTGGCCTGAAGAGATGGAAGGCAGGGCCCTCAGCCCCTCATTCTATGCTCCAGCACTTTCACCACCACCACCCTGCTCTGATAAATGTCTGCTCATTCAGGGGCACCTGGCTGGCTCAGTTGTAGAGTGTGTGACTCTTGATCTTGGGGTCATGAGTTCAAGCCCCACGTTGGGGGCAGAGATTACTTTAAAAAAAAATCTTTAAAAAAATGTGTGGTCATTCATTCAAAAAATATTTTGCTGAGTGTCTATATATGTGCCAGGCCCTAGTCTAGGCACTGAGGGGACAAGCCAGATGAGGCCTGTGTCCTTGTGGAGCTTACACTCTAATGGGGTTGGGGCCCATAATAGACAAACATGATCATTTCTTTTTTTTTTTAAGATTTTATTTATTTATTTGACAGAGAAAGTCACAGCGAGAGAGGGAACACAGCAGGGGGAGTGGGAGAGGGAGAAGCAGGCTTCCCGCTGAGCAGGGAGCCCGACGCGGGGCTCCATCCCAGGACCCTGAGACCATGACCTGAGCCGAAGGCAGATGCTTAACGACTGAGCCACCCAGGTGCCCCCAACATGATCATTTCTAATGCAGGGTAAGCGAATAGTGAGTGACCTCTTTTGGTTAAGGGGATCAGGAAAGTCCTCTTGGAGGAGGTGACTTTTGAGCAGACAGCTGAAAAGATGATGCTCATCAGATGTGGCGTGACCAGGTTCTCAGTGGAAGGAAGTTTGGGGTGTTGCAGGGGAAGACAAGGCCAGTGTGCCGGATCACGGCCAGGGAGGGAGGGAGGCTGCACCCCCTCACACAAGAGTTTGTAGGCCACAGTGAGGAATTTGGATTTTCTTCCAATTGTGAACAGGCCATCTTTGATGGGGTTAAGCAGAGGACTCCAGCATTAACATTTCAGGCATGCCATAGGGTTGGTCAGATGGAGAATGGACTGCAGGGGGCAGAGTGGAAGCAGGGAGAAGAGTGAGGAGGACATCTAGCTCAGGCAACAGGTGGTGTCTTGGACAAGGATGTACCAGGCTGCACACTGGAGCAGATTAGTGGGCCAGCAGTCACAGTAAACTCTGAGCTTCTCTGGGTTGCATATGCAAGGCAACAAAAGGTACCTACTAAGGAAGCCTTTGGGAGGCATAGTTCTTGGCTGCTCCAGCCTGCCCCCCCATTCAGTGTTTAATTATAGGCAACTCAGACCACACACCTAAAGTGCCATGTAAACACAAAGGAACCATTAAATAAGTACATAGGAGTGTCTAAGCAAGTGCACAAGGAGAACTGGAAAAGGAGTAACTAGGGTACCCCGTGAAAAGTAGACTTTAGATCCTTTAGATGGGAGGGGCAGCCCATTTTTCAGAGAGGAGCAGCAGAGGGTCCTCTGAGTGCCCTCCCTCTAGTCCACAGGTCCTGCGTGGCTGCATGTGCCACAACAGCTAAGAACCTGGCTCCAGGCCTCAGTTTCCCAAGCTCAGAGAAGCGGGTGACTCAGGCGAGGTCCTTCTCCAGCACGCCTCGTTCTGTGCCGGCTGGGAGTGACTCATTACCTTGTTCCCTCCCTCATGGCTGACCCCGGGCCAATCCCTTAATGAGTCTACACCTCACTCCACTCATCTGGCCGGGACAATTGCCTGGTGGGTTTTTTTTTTTCTGTTCCCTGGGGGCAGGGCTCGTGTCAGCAACCATGCAGGTTTCTGGAGGGAAAAGTAGTGCAGAGAGAGAAAGAAGTTGTCGTAGGGTCTGGAGGGGAGCAAAACCTAAGGATAGACCCAGGCCCTAGGCACTCCCTGTGCACCGAAGAGGGAGGTTAAATGCCCGCGCATTCTTCTAATTTCAGAACCCTTCAACAACATTTTGTACCGAACACAGTTTCACAAGCATTGATGTCCTAGAGGATTTTCCCTTGGACACCTCCTTGTAAAAGCTTGCTTGGAAAAAAAAAAAAGGCAACCAGAGAAGCCTCCCAAAGTCTGCATAGCAGAGTACCAGAGTCCCTAGGAAGGGAGAGAGCTGGGCGACTGACCAAGCGGCTCCAGGGGGCATGGGACCACCGCGCGAGGGTGCGGGCGAGTCCTACGCTCACCCCGCGCAACCCAAAAGCCCGCGGCGGGTTTCGGGGAGAGGTCTGCGCCGTGCAAAGAGCCCGCGGGCGTGAGCGGGCTGCGGAGTTGTTCGCCCCGCGTCTCTGCGCCCCCTACTTACAGCGCACCCCGTCGCAAACAGGCGACTCCGGGCGTCCCCCCACAACTCCCAGGCGGGAGTGGCGCGGGTAATCCTCCCCTTGCCCAGCCTCTAGGGCTCGCCTTCCTGCTGGGATCCGGCAGATGGACCCAGGTGGGCGCACCCTCCTGCCAGCCCCGTACCCTCTCCTCTCGCGGATTCTCCCAGAGCCCTGGCGCGCCTCCCCGTCCGGGTCGGATCCAACAGCCTGAGCCCCCCGAGTTACCTGCCCCGGGAAGTCACAGTCCGCATTCTGCCTAGAATGCGAAAGGGTGGACTCGGCAGTGCCTAAAGTCACATTCCTAGGGGAGGGGTCCCCACCTAGAGGGTCGCGGATCACGTTACCCGCCGAGGGGAGGAGACAGCGGGAGGGAGATCAAACGGGTAAAAGTTCCATTTAGCTTGTTACTTCTCCCCAACCCCCAAACGCGCGTTGACGCCGGTTGACTGGGGGCCAGCGTCCGCCCAGGTCCTGGAGCCCGACGGCCCCGGAACGCGCTGCCAGGATAGAGGCACCTTTCCGCCTGCGGATGCGGGAGTGAGAGCGCCGACGGGTCTGCGGTGCTGCCGGGCTCCCGGCCCTGCAGGCGACCCCCGGCTGCCCCGGGGTAGGGAGCCGGCCGCAGAAGCCCGCCGCCGGGCACCGAGGATCTAGAGCAATAACAGACGCATAAATGCGCATAAATAAATCAATGAGCAGCTCTCTGCTGCCAGCAGCAGGGAAACCTCGGGCTGATTAAATGCAGACGTGGGGTGTCTGCCAGGGCAGGAGGGCGGCGGGGCAAAGGGAACAGGCGTGGAGGCGAGGGGTGGGGGGAAGGGAACCCAGGGGCAGGAGCCAAGAGGAAAACCCAAAGCCACATTTTTAAAATGGTGAATTTTAAATGCAAACAGCCCGGAGGAGGGGAGGGGGCCCGGCTGCAGGCGCCCGAGCCGGCCCGCCAGCCGCGGCAACTTTCCGGGCGGGAGGTGCGGCCGGAGGGGCGGCGCCGGCGGCGGGAGGCGGGAGTCGGGGGCCGAGGGGGGGAGTCACTTTAAAGGCTCTTTCTTACCCATAATGCTTTGTGGGGACGTTGACAAGTGGATCCAAGATGGCGTAGAAAGTAATGACAGGTAAGTCCTGACTTCCCCCTTCTCTGCTGCTGGGACCGCTCCGCGAGCTGCCGGAGCCCTCTGGGGAGGAGACCTGACTCCCCTCCGGTCCCCGGGGCCCCGGGAGGGGCGGCCCTCGGACGGGCTGGGGACCCAGGCGGCCCGCGGCGGGGCCTGGGAAGCGGGGCTCTTCGAGGCGAGGCCCGGACGCTGGGGCTGTTTACAGCTTCTTCCCCTCCTCGGTCCCCTTCCCCTCCGCTGGGGGCCGCGGCGCCCGGGGCCCAGGCGGTGGAGGGGGCTTTGCAGACCCGGGCCGCGAGCCTGCGGGAGGTTTCTCCTGCCGCGGGCACTCCGGGGAGGGGGGGGGTCGAGCCGCCTTGCACGCTCCCCTCCTCCGGGTCGCGGCTGGGGGTGGGGAGGGTGCGGGCCTCCCACGCCCCGCTTGATCGCCCCCTCAGGGCTCGGACTTGCGGCGGTGGGGCGGGGGCCGAGGGTGGGCGTCGGCAAAAGTGGGTCAGGGGTGCGCCCCCTCCCTCCCCCGCCGGGGGCTGTTGCCTGAGCTTCACTTCCCCCCCCCGCCCCCCTCTTCGGAAATTCTCATTGGCCCACAAGCACATCAACAAAAATAAAAACAGACTTATCTTTTTTTGGGAGATTCTTTTAAGACTCCCCTTCTCTAGGGCTAAGGACTGCAGTTTTATTTAGGGAACTTTGGTTCTTCTACCCCCAAATTATTTGAGCTTTCTGCATCCTCTCCTTCGCTGAGGATCCTTCAGACAGGGCTGGAAGCCAGGGTCTTAGGGTTCTTCTTGGATTGGGATCCTCAGGTTTTGTTTGAAACTCAAAATTGTTATTGCTTCTCCCTCACAACTTAGACTTTTCAGGCAAATCGTTAATATAATATGGATAACTCTAGAGACAGTGGATGCCGGGTGGGGGGGGGGGGGGGGGGGAGAGGAGTTGTCCTGGCTAGTTTGTTCTTAATTTTGGCCTCTCTTGAACTTATATTGATGAGGCTTCCTGTCCTTCATTTCTTTTCTTCTTTTGAAAGTAACATCAATCAGTGCCGAAAGAGATGGCTTTTTTTACGTTTTGGATCTTAAGAGCATTTTATAGTCTGTTCTTCCATCACATAGAAAGGAAATGTTTTTACTTGAAAGCAAAATAATCATTTACAGAACTGCATACTGTACCATTTTGGTAACTTTTTCCATTTGAAATTTAGAAGCCCTCTCACTTGGGGCTGATGAAGTATTTGCTACTGATCATGTCTGTTGGTGGTGTTGTACAGACACATTTTACTTTTCTGTTTGCCTCAGGAATTGGATGAAGTAATTGATCACTAAAGAACTACAGTGCTGGTGAGATGTGTAAGGTGAGACTGCAGTTAAGAATGATTTACCTTTTTCCCTTCTTTATTTTAATCAACGCATAAGGGTGAGGCTGAAACTAAGTAATTTGATGGGACCATCTTTATTTTCCAAATATCTCAATCAGTCAAATGGGTGTGTAGAAGGAAAATGTGTCAAATGTACCAAACTTAAGTTGTTGCAGCGTAGTTACCCATAGTGGAGCTTATCCAGAGCCAAATGGTACTTGCAGCTATCCTTGATCAGTATCTTCACGGGAGTGGGGGGTAATTATATGTAAATTTCCTTGTGTAACTTTAATTGGGTGTCTTAATTTCATATGTGTATTGGTGTCTATCACATTCTCTACATTGAGTGTTAGTGATTGTTTATGTGGATTTTGTGTGTCCAAGTTACTGGGACTCTTGTCAAGAACACCCTTTCCATTGGAAAGATTGATTTTATGCATCAGTCACTCCTTTTATTTTCTGAGAAATGGAATAGTATTTGTCTCTCCCATAGTTATTTTGAAATAAAAATGATAGTGTTGAGTTTGGGTTAGTTTATTAGGGATAAGACTGGTTTGTCATTATTTTCTGGTCACGTAGTGTGTGAATTGGAAGTGCTGCTCTATCTTCTAATGCTTTGGATTTAAAGGACATTGATAAAGTATTAGTGAACTGTTAGTATATTCTATAATGGGGAGGAGGAGAGAAATTTGCTAATTTTACGTTTTTCACAAGCAATTTTCTCAACTTTAAAAATATTTTATTATGGTTTGTTGAGAAAATGTAAAGTTATTAGGGCCCACTGCAGTTGTGTGTGTGTGTGTGTGTGTGTGTTTTCCCCAACACAAATGGGTAGCCTTTGGATTTTGAAATCCTTTCACAAACTTTACCTATTTCTCAGAACATCTGATTAAGAAGAATAAGCTGTGCTTTATTTTTTTCCAGATTGAGGCATTCTATTGACATTTTGCCTTACAAAAAAAAACAAAAACAAAAACAAAACAAAACTTGGGAGAGGAAGGTGGACGTAAATCAAGATCCTTTTGTAAGTGCATATGCCACATTTGCTTGTGTTTGAAACTCAGTGCTTGTGTGTATTATAAATATTTTTATTTTTATTCTTGGCAGAGCAAATGTGGATTTTAAAGTTTATTTATTTTCAGCTTACAGATGGAGGCATATTCATGCCTTAGACCTTCCAATCAGATCCTTTTATTTTTATTTATATATTTGAATTTACAGATTACTTTGTGGGAAGGAACCAGTGATCTGCTTCTTAGCCTATGGAGATGTTCATTTGTAGTCTAAAAATGAAATATTTAGGGGCATCTGGCTGGCTCAGTTGGAAGAGCATGAGATTCTTGATCTCTGGGTTGTGAGTTTGAGCGCCATGTTGGGTGTAGAGAATGCTAAAAATAATAAAATGAAAACTTAAAAAATTGAATATTTAGGGGCGCCTGGGTGGCTCAGTCGTTAAGCGTCTGCCTCTGGCTCAGGTCATGATCCCAGGGTCCTGGGATCGAGCCCCGCGTTGGGCTCCCTGTTCGGCAGGAAGCCTGCTTCTCCCTCTCCCACTCCCCCTGCTTGTGTTCCCTCTTTTGCTGTGTCTCTCTCTGTCAAATAAATAAATAAAATCTTTAAAAAAAAAAAATTGAATATTTAGAAATTGGTAATCTCTTGTGGCTAGTGTTGTTTGGCCTGAATTATGTCAAGACATTTTCCGTAATTTTCACACATGTAGACCATGTGAAGCATTAGTATTCACTTCAAAATGAAGTTAGTGGTTGGTTATCAAACAAGTTGTTACACAAAATATTCTAAAATAGGAAATACCATAGTATTAAAGGTTGGGGCTAAGTTGAAGACACTGTCTTGTAGCTGAATAAAGAGTAGCTTTTTTAGTCTATCCTTTTGGCTGAGAAGCTAGGACACTATTTTTAGGTTAGTCTGTAGTTTTGGGGAGTCATTAAGTACCTCTCCACCAGGTGGCAAACTTTGATTTTTGCCACTGTGAGGAAGATTTTTCATTTTCTAATATAAAAAATATTCAGTCCCAGGGCACCTGGGTGGCTCAGTCATTGAGCGTCTGCCTTCGGCTCAGGTCATGATCCCAGAGTCCTGGGATCGAG